TTTGTCGGTTCATGGGTTGAACCGATGTTCCATCCAATATTGGGTGGTTCTATGCGGGAGGAGTTTTCTTTGTCAACAGAAACTAGACCTGTGACCTGTTCACAGTCAAACCAATAAGGTTGGTCGTGATTTCTAAACCTAGATCATTGCTACAAAAAATTTCATTTTCCTTGGCCTATAAGAAATGGACCAAGATCCATCCCCCATATTACAAAAGGCCAATGGCTTGCGACTGGGTGGAGCTTATGGCCAATGGCTTGCGACTGGTTGAAGCTTATGAGATAGTTGCAATTGCATGGGAGCAAACCTCTAAGGCTATTCAAATTTCTTAGAGTTGGCCTATAGTAACCCTGTCGAAGGATTCATTTAGCAAGAGTCCTTCCTTCTGAATGGCTTATGAATTTTTCTACATTAATTTGTTAAATGGACCAAGATCCATCCCCCATATTACAAAAGGCCAATGGCTTGCGACTGGTTGAAGCTTATGAGAGAGTTGCAATTGCATGGGAGCAAACCTCTATGGCTATTCAAATTTCTTAGAGTTGGCCTATAGTAACCCTGTCGAAGGATTCGTTTAGCGAGAGTCCTTCCTCCTGAATGGCTTATGAATTTTTCTACATTAATTTGTTAAAGGCTCACCACACTTTTTTAGGATGTTGAATCTCTTTGAGACGTATGATCTTATCTAATTTGTGAACTCATACAATCTGGAAGAAACCTTGTAAAAAAGTGGAAGAAGCTGAGAGATGTTTTACAAAGAAGGATAGCATTAACTCCACCCCCCCCCCCCCCCCCCCCCCTCTCCTTTCCTTTTTGCTTCCTATTTAACAACTAGATAATATGTACCCATGCAGGGGTTCTAAAGAATAAATAAAATGATATATCTTAAGTTGTACTGTACTATTCTAGGTAGACTTATTGTTGATAGGTTTTTTGGCATTGATATTAGGCAGTCAATAAATGAAAATTTACTTAATGCTGGACTAGAATTCTCTTTTTTTTTGCCTTAGAAAACTGTACATCCAGCTCAGTGCGGCAACCAGGTGGCTATTAGCAAGCTTGGAAGAAAAACTTGGGAAATGTGAGCAAGCTCAACTAGAGAACTTGCTTGGGGATTTAACTTGGCAGACTCAGTAGAACTCATGTGAAGGTTGACAAGCTCCAGAGGAAATTGTGGAGTTCTTCTGGGCGGCAAGAAACTTTCTAGCTGGTCACGTCTAAATGCATAACTAATGTATGCTATTGGCATGATAAGAATCAGATCATTTAAGTGCATGGTCGGTCAGTTCCACCCATTATGCCCACTAAGTAATTGGGTTTTCCTGTTGCTTAAGAAAACTCATTTTTTGGATTTACACCATGGTAAATAAACAATGAAAAAAAAAAAAGCACACATCATATATTTTCCTACAATCCTTACAATATCATGTCAAGATAAAAACAAGAGAACCAAAGAAGCGAAAAATAAATCAGATCAGTATTGCAATGACTTATAATGAGAAGAAAAAAGAATAGAAAAAAATAAAAGGACGGTAGTCTGAAAACGAGGAACCTTCAGCCTTGATTTTAAAGCTTTTGAATAAATTAATGAAATATAAAGAGCCAAGGGAAAGATTTCAAGAGCGGTAACCAAAATTAAAACTTTAATTCCGGATTCAAGAAAATCAAACATTGACAAACTGGCATCTAAAAAGCTATTTTGCAGGAATAAAGAAAAAAAAAACATGGTTTCCCAACAAGGTTTACATATCAACACCCGAATCCTTAGCTATGTAATGTAGCTCCTTGATGCCAGCGTTCCGTTCCTTGTTGATATCAGGTTTCTGTTTTGTGAAGCATAGGTGGAAACATAGATTGAAGGAGAAAAAGATACCTCAGATCCGAACCTTCGTCAGGTCCGTCCGACGAACCGTAGGGAAAACGTGAAGGCGTGAAGGGGGATAACTGTATTGGGGTGAAAAGCCGAATGCTTGCGCCGGAAGGCAGACCAGTACGGTCCGGGCTCTCGCACCCGTAGTCGTGGACGAGCTACGTCAAGGCAGCGTGGAGACGTAGAAGTTAGGGTTTTGGCTGGTTTTGGCTTCCAGAAGTGACGACATGCAGCAAAATTTCTAATTTTTTATGTGGAAGATTTTAATACATCCCACTTAACTCTTTTGTATATAGATATCTAACACCTAAACTTAAATTTTTACATACATACCTACTTTCTATACATTAAAAGATATATTTAATTTTTTTAAATCTAAAATGATAACATTTTTATGAGAAATAAATTATTTATGTGAAATAAATATAATAATTAAAATGTATGTGTTAGAAATGTAAATACACAAGAATTGTATCTATCATATTTTTTAGTTTGTACGGTTTATTTCAATTTTAAAACATTTTTTGCAAAATTTTATTAAATTTTTATTATTATTATCAATAAATTTGTTTCATCATACATGAATCTTGATGCTTTTTTTAAGGTATAGATATTTGAATTTTAGATTTAGCATCATTCGAGCTCCAATTTAAACAATTTTATAGCTCCAATTTAAACAAGTTTATGGTCAAGTTAAGCATCTCGAGTACACAAACTCAATAAACAATGAAAGTGATAAAATCTGAATTCAAATAAGCTTATGTCTGACACTTGAAGTATAATTGAAGATCTTAATACACAATTTAAAAGAAAACAATCTCAAAATTTGGTTTGCTTACAATCAAATTCAACATGCGTATAGTCAAATTTAGTAGCTCAATGAGAGGAATTTAATAATTCCTAGATCATTCAATTCTGAGGTTGTTAAGTAACTAAGCGTCCGTTGGCTTCGCGGCCCCGAATCGCGAAAAACAGGTGTTTGGCTCGCAGCGTCGTGGCACAGCAAAGTTAAAGCGGGAAAAAACGGGAAGTGATGTCAACAAGGGACGGAACGTTGACATCAAGGGACGGAAAAATAACGTGCGTAGCCAATCAAAACACGCAACGACATCTCGCGCGGTAGAGCAAAAAAAACGACGCAGTAACACGGGGAATATTCCCTCCTGTGTTATTCATGTGTTATTGCACGTTATTCATGTGTTATTGCGTGTTATTCATGCGTTATTGATGTGTTATCGTGTTATTATAACTCCAAGAATATTTTCAGGATACAATAACACATGAATAACACACAATAACACTTGAATAACACGGAAAATATTCCCGACAGAGAAAAAACGGCACAGTAACACGGGGGAATATTCTCTCCCGTGTTATTCTTGTGTTATTATGTGTTATTCATGTGTTATTCATGTGTTATTGTGTTATTATAATGCCAGGAATATTCCCAGGATACAATAACCCATGAATAACACACAATAACACATGAATAACATGGGGAAGAATATTCTCCGTGTTACTGCACCGTTTTTTTCTGCGTCGCGCGAGATATCCTGACGTGATTTCATTGGGTAAGAAGTTCCTCGGCTTGTGTGTAATATTTTTTCCTCCGACACAACTTTTATGCAGCGAAGGGGATCCTTTTGCCCCGCCAAGAACCCTCGTTCCTCCTCCTTGCCGCTTGAGTTATTCTTCCTCGAGCCCTTTTTTCTTCCCGTCCTCCTTTTGCCCCGCCAAAACCCCGTGCCCTCGCTGTCTCACTTGTTTGCCCTTACTGCGTCGCTCCTCCGGCCGTCTCTTTTCCGCCCATTCCTCCGTCGCTTATCGGCGGGAAGCCAGGCGAGAACCTCAAGACCCCCAGCTGCTGGAGGATGGCAGGTATCCATTTCTTCGGCTGTTGAAATGCTAGGGTTTTTACCCTCAGTAAGAAATTCTGCGCAGCTCTACAATATCGCTGTCTACCGTCTTTCACCGAAATACAAAGCCTTATATTGTCGAAAATTTATGTATTTTTTCTTATTTGTAAGCATCTATAGTTGGAAATTTCTACATCGTTTCATTGGTTCTGTTTCTTATGTCATGATTTACGGCATGAAAGTTTACAAATGTATTATTGGGTTTCTCTTGTTTCCTTGTATTTGCCTGCGGTACTTGCCCCGAGAATGCTGTTCGGTTTGATGTTTGAACATTTCTCGATCTGGTATGCTTGATTTGAATTATGATATATAGCTGAGTATTGGATTTATTTTAATAACTCGTTAAAAGATGTGTTTGGCTTGTTGAAGTTAGTTTGAAGAAAGAGTTTGGTGGCTCTTCTCTTTTCTCTCATAATTTTCATTTGTTATTGAAGATTTCTTAAAAAAATTAAGAATGATAGAATAAATATGTTTTTTGGGCACCGCAGTTATGATGTGGATCCAAATTCCATGTAACAGCGATAGAGTAGCTTGGATAGCTTATGGATTTGAGGGTAACCAATACTTTTATGAGCCACTGGTTGGATATATTTTTTTTTATGGAACAAAGATGAATCCGAGCTTTTGGTTCTCATTTTTCTTTTCCGCAATGAGCTCTGAAAATGAATAGCTTGGTGTAATTTGGATGAGGTTGATTTTTTTGAGCTTTAGAACTTGTATTTGAAAAATAAATTCACTTATTACTTTATAGTTCTTGCCAATTAGTTGAAGGTTTCTATGACAAAAATTAAAATACTATGAAGTAAAATAAATTTACTTGCTCTTCAATTTCTTCAAACCAATCTTTTCTACTCTCGTTGACCTCACACCTCACTTTAATTGATTTGAATTCTTCCATTGCTTGATTGCTTGAGAATATTTTTTTTTTTATTTGGATGTTGTTTGATCCTGTTTTCTTCTGCATTCTTATCCATTTTGCTGTTAAATCATAGACTTATTAAATCCTGTCATTTAACAGATACAACTGCACCATCACTCGATCAAAGGTAAATTATCATGTTCTCCTTCACAATTTTTTGAAGCCTATCGTGTTAGTACCAAAAAGAAAAAAGAATTAATTATATTTTTTTTCCAGTTGAAACCGATGTATGTTCAAGGTTGCTAGTTTTAATTGAGTCGTGATCTATTTATATGTTGAATTAATTTACAAATTTGTGATTTGTTCATATTTAACACTAGTTGTATGTATTTACATACTTGCAAATCTAATATTTTCACTTTTCAGTTCACTATTTATATTCATTAATATTTTTCATATTTTTGTTATAGTAATATCATGGATAGTAAGCATTGTGAGAAAAAGATACGAAAATAATATTTTGCGATCTTTGTATTAAAGAGATTGAACGTGAAAATAGACCAACAACCCATTTCAATAAAGAAGGCTGACAAAATATTATAAAAAATTTCAAGGAACGTACAGACAGGAAATATGTCAGGTTGCAAATGAAGAACGAGTGGGACCAAATGAAGAAGGAATGAAAAATTTGGAAGGAATTGAATAGGGGTTCTACCGGTCTTGGTTGGAATCCAGTGAAGCGAACAGTTGATGCACCTGAGGAATGGTGGGCTGAAAGACTTGCGGTAAGCTTTGTTTGTAAACTTCATTATTTTGTAACTTTCTATTTTGTTCTAATTGGGTGTCTATCAATTTTTGTGTAGGTGGTGCCTGCTGCAAAAATGTTTAAACTTTCTGGAATTGAGCCTGAATTGGAGTAGAAACTATACTGCATGTTTGGGGGAGTGGTTGCAACAGGGAACTATGCATGTGGCCCAAGTGAGACAGGAAATTATGCATGTAGCCCAAGGAATTTGGGAACCCCTGGAGGTTCAATTGATTTCATTGACGTCCCCAGCTCAGAGCAGAACGAATATGAAAATATTTCCTGTTCCAAACGTCCGAGGGTTGTTGATAAAAGAAAATATGGTGTTTCTTCCCTCATAAACGAGCTATCCGAGGCAGTTTCATGTTTCAAAGCAGAATGTCAGGTTTCTCATTCAAACACAATCACGGAGGCACTTGAAATCCTAACTGCTACAGCTAAAATTTATGTAGATGAAGAGTTGTATCTGTTCGTAGCAGAATTGCTAGAGGACCCGATCCGTAGGGATTTCTTTGTGCAGATGCCTGTCACTCGCAAAGTGACATATATTCAACATTTTTATAATCTTTTGAACAATTGATATTTTTTATATTTTTCATCGCTAGAACATTTACACTGCATTATCTATTTTTTGCTTTCTAGAGTTGTGCTTGGGAACTCTCTTGTACCTTCATAATTATTTGCAAACATTTCTTTTTTTCTATTGTCACCAACTCTCATATAAATGATAATTGTTTAGGAGAAACATTTAGGGATACCCATCATTATGAATGCAAGTAGAAGAAGATGGATGGAGACCCACATGGATACACGCAAAAGAAAGCAGAGAGAGATGTTTCTGACGGTAATATGTTTGATGTACAAGTACCATAACGCGTACATTAATCGGTCGACATGCATGACAACTTCTTATATTGGCGACAAATGTGTTGGAGAGTTGTTTGCGGGGCACCCAACATAATTTTTTAATATGTTTTGAATGAGTTAGATAATATTTATCGATCTTCTGGACTTACTCGTAGGAGCTCACGGTCTCCATGGATCTTCGAGGACCAATCCACGTGAGGTGCTCGCAATAACATTGCTCATATTATTCCAAAATGAGTTTATGTGAGGAGAAATGAAGCGATTTCAACACTCATCAGAAACAATAAACAGATATTTCTCAATCGGATTGAGCGCACTTGTTAGCTTGTCCTCTCATGTCATCAAACCCTCAGATTATAAGTTTGAGCAGATACCCGCTGAGATAGCACTTGATGCACGATATATGCTCTTTTTCAAGGTATTCTCTCGGATGCATTATAGTTAACTTTGTAAGGGTGAACAATGATATATCAATCATGATATTTACTCATCAGGATTGCATTGGCGCGATTGATGGAACACACGTTGACTCGCGTATATCAAATAGTGATAAGGTGACATTTATCGGTCGTTGTGGTAGCCCAAGCCAAAATGTCATGGCCGTCTGCGACTTTAAAATGTGTTTCACTTTTGTTATGGCTGGCTGGGAGGGCAGCTGTGAGGGCAGCGCACATGACAGTCGAGCTTTTAAATCTGCGACACGGGATCCCAATAGCAACTTTCCACATCCATCTGCAGGAACGCTGATCAATTTATTAGACAAATATTACTTGGGATCCCAAAAACAACTTGAATTTC